AATAGAATAGAATAGAATAGAATAGAATAGAATAGAATAGAATAGAATAGAATAGAATAGAATTCTTTGTTGGCCAAGTGTGATTTGACACACAAGGTATTTGTCTTGGGGCAAATGCTCTCAGTGTACATAAAAGAAAAGATACATTATATCGTTTACTGCATTTTATTATATACACTGTATACTGCTTAAACTCTCTTTTGATTGAGCTAATGTATAAATGTAATATTTAACTCTCGGATTACAGGAATGTGTTACCAAAATCCATGTATCCTAAAATGAAGCTGCAGTCCATGTAACAGCAAAGGAGGCCCATCAATCATAACATAAAATCATAACATAGAATGGAAATCCAGAGGTCTTATCTTCCAAAGTGATGCTCAGTGCAATATACTCCCAGGAAGATAGAAATGGGATTGCATGTGACACTTCAATTGTATTCATCAGGGGTGCTCTCCAGATGCTTTTATTACATTATTATTCTCTATAAAGTCACATGGTACAGGGAGATAACCTTGGAAAAAGCATCTAGAAACCGTTAGAACAACAGGGACAGAAGAAACATGTGCTAAGCCCAGGGAGGTAGGAAAGTATTAGAAGAAGACTTAGATTGAATTATTTCTGATCCCCAGGTGTAAAAGACAGGCGGAAGTGAAAACACAAGCAGATTTGCGAGATTGTGTCAATGTAGCCCATCACCAAAAAGTTTCAATCTAATCTCCCTGTAGAGTGAATTTCTTGATAGGTTGTTCTTTGTAGGGCTGACACATGGACAATTGTCAAGGATTCTAAGAGCTTTAGTCTAAACCTTCTGAAGGCACTGTGTTTCTAGCTCTGCCACATTTGCACAAAAGAAATCTCTAAACACATACTCCTAGGAAACAGGGTTTAGACAGCAGCCTTCCTAGTGCTGTGATATTCTGGTGATACAATATTTTATTTTCTTGTGATGTTTAATTAATTCCATGTCTTTCTTGAGCTTATACTAAAAGTCAACATGGGGATTTTTTTTTTTTTACATACATACAGATTCTAGGAAAAATACTTGTCTAATACTAAATACTTAAAATACTAAAATCCAGTTTGGGGGGGGGGTATTTTTTGACTTTGATTTGCTTTTATTTTGCATCACAAAGAAGATTAAAATTTAAGATGTATTGATTATAGGTGAAGGAAGCAATGCAAAGAATCCATGACAGAGGTAATATAGGCAAATTAATTCTGGATGTGGAGAAGACACCTACTCCTTTGGTAAGTTACAAGAAGTAGAAGATTTCAAATCCAACATTGATCAATATGTGAATATTGAAGAAACCTTCATACCCTTTATTAACCCCCTAGGTGACCTGATGGGTTATTGTTCCAGGGGTATTTTTATTACTAGATTCATCAATGCCTTCAACAATGGCAGAAATTCTAATGTTCTCTTTTCACTGGAAAAATTCTTAAATTACAGGGAGATATTCAGAGATGTGACTCTTTGAAAATAACCCATGTTGAATTGTCAAACATCAGGAGATGACCACAAAAGAGGTTTTATGACATTTGTATTATACCATAAAGTGTCATGATAATGTTTATGTCATGAAACATTTTATAAATTTTGCAAAATGTCAATTCCATGAATCTCATCAGTTTGGAATGCATTTGGAGATCTGCCAATTGGTGATTGTGCCTTTGCAAATCTTTGCTTGGATCCATCGTTTCTCCTTTTACCCCAAACACCCTGAAAATGGCATGATCTATGCTGGATGGGTTGGGCATGTATGCGTATCTAAAAGACGATGGTGATGAACTAAAAGGTCACTGCCAAAATTATGGCACCTTCCCTTTCATCTTATTCTTGCAGTTCTTGACAAAGTTTTGGAATGGTGATATCACTGCCTTTAGGGTCTTCTCCAATATACTAATTGCTTTGCGCATTAGCCAGAGAATTATATGGACTGACGTGCATCCTTTTGATTCTGTCTCCTCCCCAGATGGCCAACGACAGCACAGAGACCAGCGAAGCTGCCGAAGAGGAAGAAGACCACGAGGGGGACAATGAGAACAAAGAGTGTATACCATTCATCCAACAGTAGTTGGAAAAGGTGGGAATGAGAGCTGGAAGAGTTGATAAAGCAGAAGAAGGGAAGACAACTGGGGAAACCCATTGTGTGCACCAGTGAACAAATGCTCTAGTACAGTGTGTGCTGTTTTGTTTTTCCTTTTGTCTGCAGTCAGCTGAGCTATCAGGTGTTGGTCATTGATGTTTTGAACTGAAGTGCCATTCTGACTTTCCCAGTATTATGACATTCCATCCTGTGGTCTCCAGTTTGCCTGTAAGAGTCTTGTTGAATCCCTATCAAAAGCCTTATTGTCATCTACAGCAATAGGAGACCCAAACATCTTTCCATGTTGGTTCCAGAAACAAATTTTCAATCCACTTTGATAATGTTGACATGGGTTAGTTTTGGAGGAAAGGGGCAGGTTAGATTCTGTCGATAGGGTAGTCCATGCATACAGTAATTACAGACATGCATAGCCTGGACTCTTCTTGGCATTTTCTTCATTTAAAACATGAGTATGCCCAGACCAATTCCCACCTATTCCCAACTTTATTTAGGTAATTTTAAATTAAAATTGAGAGCCAGCTTAATGTGGTAGTTAAAGCATCATGCTAGAAACCAGGAAACTATGGATTGTAATTCCACTTTTGGAACCAAGCCACTGGAGTAACCTTGGGCCGGTCATTTCCTCTCTGCTCTAAGAACCAGGCAATGGCAAACTACTTTTGAAAAACTTGCCAAAAAAAACCCCAAAACCCGTCAGGGACTTTTTCAGGCAGTCTCTGAGAATTGGACACAACTGAACAAAAGAGAAACAAGTTAAAATTAGTGGTTTGATAATATGGGAGAATATGGATGAATGGAAATCAAGCTATTAAAATGTATTTATGGTCAAGGAAACAAGAAAAATATTTAATGCTTGCTTTCTCTTTGGTGACACTTACACTTTTCTCTTTCCCCAGCCCTATGAAATGTTCTTACTGATCCACAGGCAAACTTTGGACTCATGTTTTGTAGTAAGTGGGAAAGTTAGTACAAATAGACTCTCTGTTGATAAGCTGATACAAAGCCTTAAATCAGAGGTCTCCAAACTTGGTAACTTTAAGACTTGTGGACTTGAACTCCCAGAATTCAGCTTTGCTGGCTGAGGAATTCTGGGAGTTGAAGTCCACAAGTCTCAAAGTTGCCAAGTTTGGGGACCCCTGCCTTAAACCATCGTATAGGCCAATGTTGTCCTTCATGACAAAATTATAATCATTAACTGGGCAATGATATGAATGAACCCTGATAAGTCCATGTGCACACAAAGCCCTATCCAACTATACATTTGGAGAACAACTCACGATGTATCAATAAATGTGCATCTTCTCCTTTCTGGGCATAAAGAACGAAAGTCCTGTTTTGAATCACAGACTAAGGCTACCGTGGTAGGCAATTGCCAATTTTTCCTGCACCACTTTGTAAACAAGCAGCTCCTTCTCATTTCTCAAGAAAATACCTCATGTGTACAATATTGATTGGTATACAAAGAAAACAATCCTCAAGAGATGTTAAGACGCACTGATTTGTGCAACTTTCAGTGTATAGTAGTTGTTAGGGGAATAGTCGTGCTCAGACTCCGCCAATTAATTAAAATGGGTTTATTGAAAACATTGCCAACAAATGTTGATAGTTAATTTGCCTAAATTATATTGTACAAAGAAAATTATTTGGAATGACTTTATGCTTCATATACTCCTTTTTTTTGCATCTTTTTTTTTAAGCATTGTTAAGCAAAACAGCACTCTTAATAATATTTAAAGTAGCTCAAGAGTGAATATCTCCACCCAACACATTTAAAGAAATATTAGTCTCTTAAAGCTTTATCTAAATGCTGACACTTTGTGTAAACTTCACATTATTCTTGTCTCACTATGATTTTTCTTATACACAAAGTATATGATTCCATATCTTGTACTCACAGAGAACATAGATTTCCTACATAGTTTGTGTTATCCACTTTATTAATCCAAGAAAATATTTGTCCAAATGTCTTGGAGTACCGCTAAACTATTACTAACATCTTTCCTCAAACGAAATATGCATTTGGATTAACATATTATTTTAAGCATTCCAATTTTATTTTTCTAATTTTCTGATATGTGCTTTCTGCCTGCTGAACAGTTGGGTTCTGTTATGATCCTAAAAGATTGACTTTGACAATAAGCCTTTTTACAAAGATTATTCTGTTGTTCCTTGAAGTTGTCGATCAACCAAACCACAGGTCAAATTAAGGATGATAAAAACCCAAAGAAAAGCAGGGAGTTGAGATATCAAGATGTTAGAGTAATTGATCATTATTTATACACATCATTTAGTGCATCACTTTTCAGAGTGGTAGAAAATAAAACAGCCAGTCTTAAGGGGTGATATGCAGTCCAATCAAACTTAATTGGAATTTTATAGCCATTTGGTTTTTAGAAAGAGGGAAAGCATCTTCTTGTCCATTCCTGCATTGTTACTTTCCCTCCCCCTCTCTCAAATCTCCAGTTGTGGTTTTTTTTCCCAGAGTGGAGGGAAATGGCTTTAATGGTAGGAGAACATCTATACTAATTTGGGATTGCAACAGGTTTGAGACTTGATCCAGAGCTAGATTGGGAAACAGATCAATTCAAATGATTGCTTTGATTTTGAAAATCGATCGGATTCGATGATTTGGATTGACTCATAAAACTGACGTGAATCAATTCAAATGTTTGGATCAAACTAGCAAATTGGTTCAATTATTTTTTAAGCCATTTTTGCATCTCTACCAAAAAAAAAAAAAAAGATATCCAGATCACTTCAAAAGGATCCAATAAGATTTAAGCACCTCTTCAATGTATTTTTTAAAAAGTCGCTTTGTTTTCAATACTTGATTGAATGTCTTTCAGGTATAATCTTCTTGAGGTGGAATGTTTGCACATTAGTAAAAATGAACAGCTTTGTTTCAAGACCGGCTTTGGAATTTCACTGGCAGCATCATTATAACCACACTGTTGTTTATAAGAGCCTGCTCTAGTTATCCACTGCCCTGCCAATAGATTTTAAATCCATCATTAAAATAATATTCCTGCAGTGTTTACTTCTACCACCATCAACCTTCTCTTCTTATCCAGGTATCTCTAGCAGTGCAACAATGATTAATAGCCACTTTCTTCATGAATTGATTTCAACCAAGTTTTGAAAGCCATTTAAATTGTAGCTGTTGCACATTCATGTTTACCATTCCATTTTTGTGACTCATACGGTAGGGTTTTTTTGTGTTTTTTTGCAGTAAATCAATGTATCTCCACCAAATGCCATCTCTTTAAGAATGTAGAAGAAAGCAAAAAGAGATAGAACGAAGGGACTTTGTGAAACAAATGCCAAAAGAATGCCATCTTTTAGGTGTGCTTTAATGTCAACAGCCATTGAAAATGCCAAAAGAATGCCATCTTTTCGGTGTGTTTTAATGGCAACAGCCATTGCAAGCTTTCCATTGTAATCAAATCAAACTTTATTTTGGTCATTAACCAGCATATACCAGTATCAAAAGTTGCCTCTTCCAAGATGATCAGCTGAGCCTTCGCTTGAGTCCCTGTTTGAGACTTTGGAGAGCAGAGATGTGGGCAAACTTTTCACATCATTGCGGCTTTCCCCATATTTATCTTCTTATTTTTAATTCAATCCCCAGAGATGCCCAGCAATTAGAAAATAGACCAGTGAAAAGCCAAGAATTTATCATCAACTTAGCAGGGGCAAATGCCTTAAAATTCCATCTTTTGATTCTTTTACAAGCAAACCTTTTGAAAGGAAACTCTTAGAAATAGGCAAACGTTGTAGGGACTGCTTTTGATGGAAGATATTCATCTCCGTAGCTAAATAACAGAATAACAGAGTTGGATGGGACCTTGGAGGTCTTCCAGTCCAGCCCCATGCTCTGAAGGAAACCTGGTCCCTTTTCAGATAAATAGACTAACTTTTAGATGAAGCAGAGGTCTAGAGGGGGAAGGGAAAATGTTGCAATGTTTTCTGCACTATGCATGTAGTAGAAATTAATGCATAAATCCCCAACCCCCCCGTGTATCCTCCTGGATACATTCTTCCTCAATAATTTATAATGTTTTGTAGTCCCTGAGGCCTACCTTTTAATCCATTGTCCATCAGTTTTATATTGCAGAAAGAAAAATGCATTCCTACTTTCCCTTACGTAGGTTTGCCTTTCTTGATGATGGCAAAAATACCCAGAAGGCAGCCAACCCAAAGCGGAAACCTCTAGCCAGCAATGCAAAATGTATTATTTGACCTGGTTTTCATCTTGAGTATCCCCAACAGCAAAAAGATAGAATCAGGCTATAATTTGAGAGAAAGGTAGCCAGAAAATCAAGTGGCGTTAAATTAGTCTTGGTTTTCCCACTCTCTGTTTTAGAGATGTCATGATGATGGCATTAGAACTTCTGTGACTCAGCTCCTTTTGTGCTCGAAGGCCAAGGTACATATGAAGTACGCTAAGTTTGCTCTTCTTCAGCTTTGATGTTGCCTTGATAACTCAGACAAATTGATCTCATGCTTAGTCCTGCAACGTTGCAAATATTGAAACAAACATTTGTGGATCATTTATTTGCTTAGAACTCTTTAATTGTGGAGATCCCTTCAGAAACACAGCTATCCTTGGATGCATTCTTTTGAAACAAGCCAGTGCTTATATTTTATGAGCTGGAGAGAGGCTTTCACATCAAGCGGAATCAAAATAGCCCAACATTCATGCAAACTATCAGTGCCTGTGATCCATTGAATTCAGTCTTATATGCCTGAGCTTCACTGGACTGTGGATATTTTTCTGGGATTAGGTGAAAAGAGTGCAAAGCATTGGAAGCTTCCTCTAAAACAATTGGTTTACCTCCTTCCCCTCTGTCCACAAAGCAACATTATTTCCCCTAAAATTTCAGCCTGGCTCTTCAGGGAAATTTAGAAAGGGATATCATCACTTGAATTTCAAAAGAGATAACTGACAACATCAGAATACATTGGAG